TTTTTTTTTTTTTTTTTTTTTTTTTTTTTTTTAATTCGGAAATTCGTAGGGCACTCAGCAGCCAACCCCTTCTTCTTCTTCTTCTTCTTCTTCTTCCTCTTCTTCCCACCATCACCCACCCCGACTTCGTTTTTTTTATATTTTTTATATTTTTTAATTCGGAAATTCGTAGGGCACTCAGCAGCCACCCCTTCTTCTTCTTCTTCTTCTTGTTCTTCTTCTTCTTCTTACCATCATCACCCACCCCTTCTTCTTCCATCGTCTTTTTTTTTTACGACCATGGTGGCCAATCGGGGACCATTCGTGCCGGATACTGGTGAAGCTAGAGAGGAACTTTTGAGGAAGTCCGATGTTTGGAAATGGGTGGATCGAGGGCAGAAGTTGTCGGGCGGTAAGGCTCATGGCAACTGGAGATTGCGGTGCAGATTGTGCCACAAGGAGTTCACCGGAACGTCATCAAGAGCGGCGAACCACTTTGTGCAGGCGTCAGAAGGTGCTCGTTGCAAGCACGCCACCGGGGAGATTGCAGCTGCGGTCCGCAAGTTCCAGCCCTCACAACAAATCTGCCCTGTCATGATGAAGAAATTGAATGAGTATTACACGACGCAGGGCCGTCCGCCGGTCATGGAGGATCCCGTCGATTTGGAGCCCGATCGGAACACAGACGGGGAGGGCGGTCATGACACACCTTCGTCGGGGCTAGATCGCAGGGCAGGTCCGGCGCCCGCTGAAGGGAGCAGCATTGGTTTTGGATCGACCTCCGTCGGGAATAGAGCAGCCCCCACTTGCACGGATGGTCAGGTGCCATCAGAGATTGCCGAGCACTTGCGGGTCCCGTCTTGGCTTCCACTCGCCCACCACGACCTCCCTCGGCCGGTGCGGGGCACAGCAGACATTAATGGCCTCTTTTGTCGTGGATGAGCTCCAGAAAGAGTTTGACCAGGCGATCGCCTCATTCTTCTTCGAGAACGCCATTGCATTCAACGCTGCAAGATCAGACTCCTATAAGAACATGGAGAGGATCATGAACGAGGCGGCCAGGTCGCGGAAGATGTTGAAACTGCCAAGGTACAACTTCCTGAGGACGAAGGCACTGCCCACGGAGTACAAAACTGTGGATACTGATTTGGACACGATCCGTGAGCCATGGGATGTCACGGGCCTCACTTTGATGACGGACGGCACGACAACGACCAGCAATAGGCCGGTCATAAACTTCATTGCAGTTGGGGATTCGGGGGCTGTCATGGTGAAGAGTGTTGATATGGAGGGGCAGGACAAGTCGGCTCCGGCTTTGGCGAGGATGTGGGAGGAGGTCATCAGAGAGTTGGGGGTGCACAGGGTCAATGCCATATGCACCGACTCGGCACAGGTGAACATTTTCGCAAGGAAAATACTTGCTGAACACGAGGACCCGACGATCAGGAGCATTCCCTGGGTGCCATGTGCATGCCATGTGTGTAACCTGCTGATGTCCGACATTGCTACAGTGCCATGGATTGCAGAGGTGATTCTGCAGGGCAGGGAGATCACCACGTTCATCAAGAGACATCAAAGAGCATTGGCGATGTTCAGGAGGGCCGGGAGGGAGTACAAGGCACAACTGGGCATCATAGACGGTAGGCTGTTGGAGTTGATCCGACCAGGAGAAAGTAGATTCGGCACAAACTTCGTTATGTTGCAGAGACTACGGGAGGTGGAGGGAGTGTTGTTGGCGACAGTATCCCATGCACGTTGGGATGATTCCCCATGGGACCGGACCGCTGCGTCAAGGGCGCGAGCATGCAAGGAACTCATACGAGACCCGGGTTGGTGGTTGACCGTCGAGCGGGCATGCACATTGCTTCAACCAGTTTATTCGTTGATGAGGGACATGGACAGAGACGGGAGGATGGGGATGTAGGTGTGGTCTTTGGGGATCACATTGGAGAAGAGGATGAATATTTTGCCCATGGATTATGAGACAAGGACGATCGTGATGAAGAAGGTGAAGGAACGCGTGCGGATGATGACTCTCGCTGTGCACGCAGCAGCATGGATGTTGCACCCACTCCACAAGTCGCCTAGATTGTTCGACGACTTGGAGTCAGAAGAGATCATGAACACTCTGGCACACTTTGCTTCGGTTTACACAAAAGATTCGAAGGAGTACAAAGAGTGCTGGAGGTCCTTGGAAAGTTTCCATCACAAAACTCCGGAGTGGATTCGCCCGAACGCAGAGGAGGCTTTGGCATGCACTCACGTTTCACATGCGCAATGGTGGTTGACATATGGGAAGAATCACAAGTCGTTGCAGAAGATTGCAGTCGCCGTGCTCAGCATGTGGACAACCGCCTCTCCATGTGAGAGGAATTGGTCCACCTTCGACCTTATTCACACAAAGAGGAGGAATCTATTGAGCCCGGAGAATTTGCAAATGCTTGTCTTCATCCATTGGAACAAGAAGTTGCTGAAGATGTCGAAGATGAAGACCGGGTTTGTTAACACCGAGCGACTGGAGTGGGAGACACCGGAGGACGTGGCCCCTTATGATGGCTTCATGAAAGACGGGGAGTACGACCCGGACGAAGTGAAGAGGAGAGCAGCGAACTGGTCCAAATCTCGCGGACGTAGATCGAAGTCGACCAAATTCGACATCCGGGAGCTTGAGGAGGAGAGGGAGGACGACGGGGCATGGCTCCTTGATCTTTCTTACCGCCCTCGCCGTCTTGCGGATCATGACCGTGGGAAGACCGTTGTTGATGTTGACGACGAAGAGCCTGACCATGACAGCGAGGATGATGGCGAGTTGGTTCGAGTGGAACTCGTTGACAGGCGCTCGACTAGGAGGTCAGGAGATGGCTCATCTTCTTCCTCCCCGCACGACCACATCACGATGCCAGAGGAGGGTATTCGTTCACGACATCAGACTTCCACATCAGGCGGCGCAACTTCCGTGCAGGGGACCGCGTCACTCTCGGGAGCACAGCTCACCCGTCATCGGCCACCCACGCTCGAGGAGGCAGGCACCGCTCGTGGGACCACACCCGGTGGGTCGTTGCACGTCCCCCATGACAGTGATGCGTTGGAGGCAGATGCCTTTGTTGATGCAGACATGGACGGCCCGATTGCTGTTGCTCCGATGGAGGCTGATGCGGTGGCTGATGCGCGTGGGGATGATCCGGTTGGTGAGCATGGGGATGATCCGGCCGGTGCCACTGCTCCAGATGGTGTTGTTGGTGCAGTTGACGGTGGTGCTGTTGGTGCAGACACAGGGACCGACGATGGTCCTATTGCGAGCGGCGATGGGTTCTTTACTCCGGATCCGGGGTTGCGATTGGGGGAGAGCTTCGCCTCCCTGTTACCGCACGTGGCCCCTATTGCCCCGCGTGGCTCTGCGCAAGACTTTTGCAAGCACCTGGCTTCAATGTCCCCAATGCGGACTGATGACGAGTCTTACACCCCTGATTGGGCCAGATTCACCGGACCCACCCCTCCCACTCTTCGGTTGGACGAGGACATTCGGCTGGTGGCTGGGGAGGGCACACATGCCCAAGTTTACGTTCAGAGGACCACGCCAGTCCCGGATGGTGGAACGATCCCACCACATGACATGAATGCACGGCGTGCAACAGGGTCACCGCCTGAAATTGACGAGAGCAAGGTGCGCCGAGTGAAGAGTTTGGCTGGCAGAAAGAAGGGAGGGAAGAACAAGGGAAAGGAGGCAGCGGCACCGAAGACGCGAGGCGGAAGAAGGAACGGACGCAAGACCGTCACGCCGCCCGAGACCTTGGAAGAAAAGAGTGCTGTTGTTCGACAGGCGAAGAGGAAGAAGGCTCAGCGAGTGCAACAGAAGGCCGCAGCAGCCAGTCGATCGCCGAAACGCGGCCCTCAGAAGAAGAGGAAACGTGTGCAAGAGGACGACAAATCGAGTAGCTGCAGCTCTTGGCCTTCCTCTTCTTCGTCCCGATCGGGGTCGACGTCGTCGTCAACTGACACGAGTAGCAGCAGCAAATGAAACGGTGTTGTTCATGTGTGTGTGTGTGTGTGTGTGTGTGTGTGTGTGTGTGTGTGTGTG